AAAGGCAGCTAGTCATCACCACCCGCCGCCAACTCTTGGGCTACTCTTTTACCAACGAATAGTGGGATTGGCCGTCACGTTATAACGCCCCCACGGCTGAAAGGGCGAGCATGTTTTGGTGTGATGGGGATTCGAACCCGCGATCCGCAGATTGCGAGTCGAGCGCCCTAACCACCTGGCCATGCCGGGCCATTTCTGAGTAAGTATAACACAAGAAACTCATAACAGTAAACTTACACTTACTTTAAAATGAAGAAGTTTAATTAGAAGTGAGCCTAAACTCTAGTGCTCGTCTAGCCATCACATTCATTAAATAGTTTTACAGTTTATATAATATATCCTCCTAGATTTGCTTGTTAATGTTCCGCGACTACACGTGGTTAAGTATATGTAAAACGAACACATTCTTAGTCATTTGCTAACTCCCCCCACCCCCTCCACTCCTCAAAGAAATATAATAAACAACATTATGATTCATGGCTCCAGGAGATTTTTGGAAGACTCTAAATTGAGTTACAAGAACGGCATATACTGGGTACGTTTCGACAAGTTATAATAACACCTGCTTAGAAGGGTTTCTTAAGCCAGCTTAACCGCTAATTTTTTTTAGTTAGTATTCATAGATTAGGCCTTCGTTAGTAAATGTTCTACTGAGTTAATTAATAAACACGGCGATACTTACGCCAAAAAATTCAAGAAAACTATACAGTGTTCTGGCTGTTTCTTGTCTTTGGCATGAAAGTTTTCGGCGTCTCACATGAGAACTGAAAGACAACGCAAAACTGCGCTCAGAACGCAACCACTGTTAGCACGAATCTAACACGCTGACTAAGTGAGAGCAAGATATGTTACGCGATAAGGGTTCGTGCAAGAACATCCGCCCTTTCACTAGAACCGGTCTGTCTAGGCAGTTTTCCACCAGTAACAGTAGCCTTGGCCACCTGGACCACGAGTTAGACAGACCACACGGTCTAGCGTAAGGGTAAATACCGGCGAATGCTTTATAGGCTGATCGCCCAGTTAGCTTGTGAACATTATTTAAAAAAACATAAAAACTTAATACATGTTAGCATGCACTTCTAAGTTGAAAAAAAAAATTCTTTCGCAATTTCTTTTAAAATCCATTTTTCAAACTCACTTTATTTATATTTTCTAGAAAAAAAAAAGTCCTAAAATCGATCTTTCCGACTTCACCCCCCTTTTTTCCCCTATATAAATTGTGTTTTCACTTCCATCGTGTTAAACTTACATTATGAAAACATGTTCCTAAATTTAACATCGCCTCCAATTTTTGTGTTCCTGTATGCCTTTTATGCACCTTAGGGTCTGGAACAACAATCTTGGCCCGACATGGCTAGGTGGTTAAGGCACTCGACTCGCAATCTGAGTGTCGCGGGTTCGAATCCCTGTCACACCAAACATGCTTGCCCTTTCAGCCGTGGGGGGCGTTATAATGTGACGGTCAATCCCACTATTCGTTGGTAAAAGAGTAGG